AGAGTGACTGTCTCAAACAAAAGAAAAAAAAAAAAGAAAGAAAATTGAAAAACAGGATAAAAGGGAAAAAAAGAACACATGGGACCATTAGAAAACAAGTAGAAAGAGGATAGGCTCAAATCTAGCCACATCGATAATTGCATCAAATGTAAATTAACATCTCAAACATTGTCATATTGGATTTTTTTAAAAATAAGAACCTACTATCTGTCACCTTCAAGAAATGCACATTAAATATAAAGACAGGGATAAATTAAAAGCAAAAGGATAGGAAAAGATATACCATGACAATATTAGTCAAAAGAAAACTCTAAGGCCAGGCATGGTGGCTCATGCCTGTAATCCCAGCACTTTGGGAGGTGGAGGCAGGAGAATGGCTTGCATTCAGGAGTTTGAGACCAGCCTGGGCAACACAGTGAGACCTTGCCTCTAGGAAAAGTAAGTTAGCCAAGCACAGTGGTCTGTAACGTAGTCTCAACTCCTTGGGAGGCTGAGGTGGGAGGATCACTTGAGCCCAGGAGGATGAGGTTGCAGTGGGCATGAGCTGTGATTGCACCACTGCACTTAGCCTGGGAGACAGAATAAGACTGTCTCAAAAAAAAAAAAAAAAAAAAGCTGCAGTGGCTAAATTCATATAAGACAATGTAGATAGGTAGATAGGCCATATTCTGGGCCATAAAAGAAAGCTCAATAACATCAAAATGATTTAAGTCAAACAAAGTATGTTTTCTGACTATAATGCAATTAAATTTGATATAATAGAAAGACTACTGGAAAATACCCAAATATTTGGAAACTCAGGTACACACTTCCATAAGAGAATATATGAAGTATTTTGAACTGAATGAAAATATAAACAACATGTACTAGAATTTGTGGGATAATGCTAACAATGCTAATGCAGTACTTGGGAGGAAGTTTATAACACTAAATGCTTATTTTACAAAACAAAAGAAGAAGAAAGGTCTCAAATCTGTGACTTCAGCTTCCCCCTAAAAACTAAAAGAAAAATAGCAAATTTAACACAAAATAAGTGTAACAAAGGCAATAAAGATCAAAGAGAAAACCAATAAAACAGAAAAGTAATGAAACCAGAAGCTATTTCTTAAAGAAAAATCAATAGAATTTATAAACTTCTAGCCAGACTGACCAGAAAAAAAGAGAGAATACACAAAACACCAATATTAGTAACAAAAGAAGCGACATCACTGTAGATAATAAAAGATAAGGACATATTATGTGCAACTTTATGTGAATAATTTCTACAACTTAGATAAAATGCGTAAGTTCCTTGAAAGGTACAAGTTACCAAAACTCCTTTAAGATGGGCACAGTGATACATGCCTGTAGTCCCAGACACCTGGGAGGCTGAGTGGGGAGGATCACTTGAGCCCAGGAATTTGAAGCCAGCCTGGGCAACACAGAGAAAATCGTTCCAAAAAATAAATAAGTAAATAAAAATAGATAGATAGCCAAAGTAGCCACTACCAAAGGACCCAAAATGGTACTTACAAATCTTATCAGAAAGAAAGCTCCATGCCTAGATAGCTTCACTGGCAAATTCTAGCAAACATTTAAGGAATACATGTAATCAACTCTATATAAATTATTCCAAAATATTAAAGAGGAGGGAATATTTATCATTCTATGGAACAAAGACATTACAAGAAAAGAAAACTGCAAATCAATACCTCATAAACATAGATGCAGAAATTCTAAATAAAATGTTAACGAATCAAATTCAACATATACTAATAGAATAATACATCATTGTAAGGCCGGCTGCCTCGCAGAGGGTTAAATGGACACATCCATCTCTCTCCGCGCCTGATAACTGCGTCATCACCCAAGCTCGTTATCTGGCCTTGCCGCAAGGCTTCTCCGCACCCACCTCCGCACACCAGACCCAAGCCCACATTCAGCACTAAATTATGCATTCGACTGCCAGCCTGCTGTTGATAAACCCTGCAGGAAAATTTTTTTTTTTTTTTTTTTTT